AACATTGCCATACATGATTCTGTCACTCATAAGAATATAGAAACTAAATCAAGATTATACATGACTCATTTACTGCTGTGTTTATTTGTCTTAATTCATACACCACAAGGATATTTGAAATATAATTTATAGACAATTGATTTATATAATACAGTTATAAACTCAATGAAAAATTGGTGTAGCCTTTATTTTTCTCATTTTTCTGACACTGTAACTGACACTATCTACTATACACTTGTTAACAGTGTCTTTGCATAATGTACATTTCTTGATGTGTATATATTAAAATTTGTATTAGTTAACGCACTGTGAATTATTTTAAATAAACATGTTTTTGAAAATACTGGTGTGTACTAGTATTCTACTACAAGTAATGGTTATTGCTGGAATCACCTCTGCTCACTTTCCTCAAACTTACATGTGACATGCGTTCAGAAATCAGATTCAAATTTTAATGGAGATTATTGTATTCCCTATATACAGCTTGCGCCACAATGTTTATATCCCATGATGCATTGCCAAGTTGATTTCCAATCTGCCACTACCTCTCAAACAAAATAACCAATTCACAGTGATTTGTATGGGGAAACATATCAACGGGAACAGCCTTGATTGGGGTGAAAGGTCGACCATATAGCTTCTTTATTGGTGGACAGCACAGACTGAAAAATACAACATGCACACGATGAATATACATATTGATGTTAAAAACAGACTGACGAAATTGTCTGATGTGTTTCTGTTACTGGCATTTGTTTTGATATTTCTATAGCTGTCTGTCCTAAACGATACACCTTATGTATTTGATTTATTTTATACAGTTGGTCTAAAGTATAGATTAGCTGTCACTGAGATACATCCCTGAGATACATTTTACTTGTCACAGTTTGGGCTCAAGTAAGTTTTTCTCTACGGTATACAGTAAAATTCTTGTATCAGCGTATATACAATCATTTTCCCATGTTAATGGAAGATAATTAAAATGGCCGTTTTTTAAAACGTGATCAATGTCACTTATTTGTGACACAAGTCACAAATCCAATATTGTGCTTAATCTAAAATATGAATAATGACTAAACCACTGCTGTGGCATTGAATCTAATCTTCCAACAAGTGTATTAATGTGGAGAAGCGTGTGACAGTATCTTGAGGACCAATTTGAGGTTCTCTGTCTACAAAATAGATGTCTGTAATTACTTACTCTGTGAAGTTTTTCATTGCTTCACCTTGTGGTTTACAAGACACATAAACCAAGTCGTTTAATAAACTCACAATTACGCAAGGTTCTGATAACTTTAGAGTCTGGAAGGTGATAATTTGACAATTTATAGGATGTAGTAAGAAGACGAGATGCAATTCATGGAGACCTTTTTTGCCATCATTCTATTTACATAGATTATAGAAACAAACCAGGATCATGACATGACTCAAGACACAGAGTAATTATTCCTTTGGTGCTATATGCGTCTCTGCTGTAATCAAAGATGATAGAGCATACATTGTAGCTACTAGTAATAATATTACTGATTTATCATATACCTCATATTGCCCGACCTTGTAAAGCTATGGGAATTGCGCCCTTTCATCATTCAAAACAAAACTCACCATTCTAAATTAAGTTGCGTTGAGGTCATGCCATGGTAAAATTGTAATTACATAAGGTATATGATAAAACTTTTATGGACTGGATATGTTTTTTGCTGCCCTCGGTCAAACAGCTTTCGCGCCCTCACTCAGGCGCTTCCACCACACAAACCTTGGGTCGAAAAGCCGTATCCAGTCCATAAAGAGTATTAGCTGCCTTAACAATCTTCCATCAACTATTACATTTTCAAATTCTTCTTGAAAACTTTAAGCCAGATTGCTTTCATAATTCTTTTTGTGACTTGATCACATTTGTAAATAAAGTAATTTCATTTTTTATTTACAATGAAATTTTTTTTTTCATAAATGTTATTTTTGAATTCTTCCTGATAATACTACCAGTCTCCTTCTACATTTACATTGTATCTGTACTTGAAGAGGTTCCCTCAGATTTTCCATTATCCGGAAATGTTTTTGCTTATTAGGTTATTGCTTTTATTGCTTTCCTAGGCCACCTGCCCATATACAAACACTTCAAAACAATACTTAAAATGTAACAGCTACAAGTAGAATATGATAATATTCTTAGTTTTAAATCACACAGAATTAAATAATTAATTTGTTAACAATTGTTTCCTGGCTTCAAATGCTTACATACAAACATTTCGTAGAATATCACCATTTGTTGATTGTACAAGCCTTTGAAATTTATCAACGGATGGTTGCTTATTTACGACTTCACAAAATCCTTAAACTAGGCCGACTCTCTGATCATTCTTGGCAGATCTTATGATCATGCATACATTTGTGTAAATGTCAAGAATTACATTAAAATAGGTCATTAACTTTTTAACCGCCATACTTCCTCGCGCAAATTTTTTCTAATATTCTTCAAATAAACCCTAATTTTAGAGCCAACAGACCAAATTTGAGTCAACTTTCAGTTTTTACTCCAAAAATTTGACTAATTTTGTCCTAATCTTCTGAAGGAAAGTGCAGATTATAAACAGGACTAGTTTGTGAATTTTTGATGAAAAGAGAGAACTGGTGGTAAAAAGCTTAATATAGACTATAATTTGAAAATCATCGAGTAATATACTGGGCAAATTGTTATCTATGCACATACTTACGTAAGCCAGCTCTACCAGGATTCACTACAGCTACTATGTCAGTTTCATTCACCAAAGTTGGCATCAAGTCTGGGATGATTCTCTCAGCACGCCCACATAAGTATTCTGAATTTGTTACATCTACAAAAAGTGTATTACCAGTAAATTAATCAAGGTTTCATGTCGTGTAGCACATAATCCAGGTCATGGGGTGGGACGGGGGCTTCCATAGACCATCAGGAATATTTTGTTTATTTTCAATAAAAATAAGGCACTGTAGGCGAGGGTTTGTAAACCAATTCAAGTAAGGGTTGGACATAATATGTTGTTTGATTACCGGTATTATGTAATGTAAACAATAGGGAATTTGATGAATTTTGAATGCCCTTTTTATTTCCCCTCTTGTTCAGACAATCCTCTGGACAAGTGTTCTGACTAATTTATTTTTCATGATTTTGACCACAAATTCTGTTTTTGAACATTCAAACCCATTCTGTGAATCAAAAAATTAACCACATTTTAGATAAGCCACTTTAGTCAGATTTACGAATAAACATGACATGTCTTATGTCATCTTCATCATCTATTACCTCATTTAAAAACATGTTAAACAGGTCATTGATAATGACACAGTCCACGTTAAATTTTTGAAAGTTCTCTTTGTGCTCGTCATATTAAAGCGGAAGGGTTGTCGCGAGCGTGTCCTTGAAACTTGAGTTCCAAGTGGCATATACAACAGATTGTTTATTTACATCAAAACACGTGTTCCGTGTAGTAGTAATATGGCCAAAAATAAAAACAGCCGTTATTCGGCCATCTTTGATCTGATTATGAAACACACTGATATGTATGTGCCAAATACGAATGAAAATGGTACATAAATTGTGGAAATATAGTAGTAAGGCCAAAAAGTCAGATGGCTGTCAATCGGCCATCCTTGACCAGATCTTGAAACAAATTGTCATGGACATGCATCCTAACATGTATAAAGTACATGTATGTGCCAAATTTGAATGAAAACTGACAGCACGGTGTCCAAGATACCGCATAAAAAAAAAAAGATGCCTGCCAGTCGACCATCTTTGATCCAATTGCGAAATAAATCGTCATAGACATGTATCCTAACATGTATAATCTATGTACCAAGTTTGAATGACAACTGACAAAGCATGTCCAAAATACAATATTTTCAAAAAACAAGATGGCTGCCAGTCGGCCATTTTGAATCGAATCACTAAACCACTGCATGTGCACATGTCCCACATAAGGTACTAGGCACATGCAAAGAATGAACAGAATCGGTCCACAGGATTCTGAAATATGACTCTGGACAGACTGACACACGGACGGACACACGGACGGACACACGGACGGACGGACGGACAGACGAACAGACTCAGGAATTCACGGACGGTCGGGGACATGTATCCTAACATGTATGATCTATG